TTGATACTCGCATTAATTAAATAATCTTCGCAATCGTTTTGTGAGTAAGTCAGTTATCCGATTAGTTTACAACAACGAAAACTTGTGTCTTGATCTATTCCGCATGCCTCAGTTAAGATTAAGATGCATTAATGCAAGTTGCATGTGCGTCCGGCCTAAGTTGGTGCACGCGCGAGGCGGGCGGCGCCCTGTGCTTGCCTAGCGGGGAGCTAGGGGGTGATGTAGGGGGGAGGAGGTAGTCCAACAGCCAATATTATACGGCCGTAGTTAGCGCGCACTGATATTAAGAATTCCACAGAGCACAGAGTAGCCAACACTTACGATAGAATTTAAACACGACGCTCTCAAGTGTACGGCGATTGGTCGATACGAGCTGATGCTGCTTGTTTATTTTACGTAGGTACTCATGTGTTAGAATTTAGGGTGCAAGTAAGTAAACATAGTAAATAGTATTTGTATGTTATGGCATGTGAATGAAATTAAAATCAGCAAAGTATTAAACTGAACCTGGTGGCATCGAATGATGTAGGTAGAGTGTAGCTGCGAAAACAGTAGGTACTTGTTTTTTCTTTTCACTGAACTTTCTACAAGTATCATTAAGTCGAATGTATACTTATCACTTTAGTACTCCTTTCCTCACGAAGCTCTGCATTACTCACTGTATAGCAAGCAGGTCTCTGCTCTGTGACATTAGTCTACAATCTGAGATTGGAGCGGACGGCACAAAGTTGGTAATTGAAAAATCTTTCCGGTCCTCCCCCGCGACCCCAGCCCCCCACGACCCCGCGACCCCACGACCCCCGGCGGGAATTAAACTTAACTGTAATTACACGTGTTATGTTTAATTGGAAAATGGCCGCCGTATAGCAGTACCCACGTACCATACACAGTAAGCAGTAGGTACTCCACATAGTGTCGCTGCCGGGGCTACCTGCCTGTAGGGGACTGGAACGTGCTCAGACAGCGTTGTTGGGTTGTATACTTAATATTTTTTGGGAATTAAATATTGTACAGTACATAATAATATAGCAATATATACTGCTACGTGTAATGTCACGGTTCGTTTAAAGTGTAGTTTACAATGAACAGCCCTGTTCCTAAGATTCACTCATTTAACGTCTCACGTCTCACTCGATCGAGAAAGTAAAGTAGGTGAAATAAATGAAAATGTATTTATAAATTGAACATAATTTTATAAATACAAAGTTTCTTCGTTTACCATATTTTTTTTAATTGTGAATCTTTTAACGAACGTAAAACATCAACTACGCGCCAGCTCCAGTAGTCGCGTTTCGATTCCCGCCCGAGGTACTTTATTCTTTGTATGATTTGATCTACAAATTGTGATTGGCATAAAAAGTATATGTTTGAATTATAAATGTTCCCTTGACACGGGAGAGAACTGTTCTAAAAATTCTAAAATAAACACGAATTTCATAGTCCGGGATGTCAATAAAATTCGTTTTACATTGTCGGTGCATGGAACCACGTGACTCAAGTGTACATCCATGTTACACTGAAGAGCAATATCTGCGTAGCACGACGTAGCGCGGGACACTAACACCTAGATACTTACTAGACAAACATCGTAGCAAGTAATCTATGCTACGGAATTTCGTAGCAACATTACCTATGCTACGAATTCCGTAGCAGTCGTTTGAAAAGCATACAGCTGTCATATTAGTTGGAGGTGGGTAGTTGTGTCGCGGCCCAGGCTTACCCTCAGCGCGGGGGTTTGGGGTGGCAGTCGGGTGTGGGGGTGCAGGGGGGGTGGCCATTCGTCAGCTCTCCGCAGAAATGTTTTCATTTTTATTTCATAAATAAAGAGTGGAATTCCGTAGGGCAGCCGCGTAATGAGGCTGCGGCTGTCCAGGGCTCGAACCGTGGCTGTGAAATTTTGCAACTGTTGGTGTTCAACACTATTAGGGAGCATGAAATAATACCGTAATGTGTTCCTGACAGCCTAGCAGTCTAGTCAGCATCACAAATATGTACATAATACAAGTTCTGGGATTAAAAACAAATAAATTCATATGAGCCATCAATATTTCCAATGTTTATGAATTCGAGTAGTCCCGTGGGTGGGGGCGGTTTATTGCTCTACCGTAGCGCACTCATGAATACATCTGCCGCCGTCTCTACACGCAGCTTTACGGCTCCGCGATCATAGAGACGAGATACACACGTTCTAATACGACAGCGTTACTTATTATTCAGTGATGGCATTTTGAGCGGTACAATATTTAAAGTAATGATGTTTTACAATAGTTGTAAGTTGACCACAGTGTCATAGGCCACACTACTCCTGCACATGTGTCTCCTACACCCACTGCCACACTAGGTGGCGCCACGCTCGCCCCACTGCACACCGCTCTGCTTTTATAACGATTCCCTCACTTTTTATGACTCTCTCATGTTTTGTTTTTATAACTTTATTTCGGGGTCGAGTGCTACAGTAGACTATACAATATAGTCGTATGTCTGACTCTGTGTTAACTGAACTGTATTTATTATTTCTGCTATACCGTGGTAAACACATACATAGGTTTAGTATTTGATGCAAGAGACCTTTAGAGAATTTATTATTTTTATTTTGTTGATCACTATAACAGTTAAAGGGTGACATTAATACGAGTGAATAATTATCATTTAGTTTGCCATCCTTTGTCATCTGGGACTATGATAGTCAGCTGTGGGTATATTGTACACGAAAACTGTGTACTTTGAACAACATTTCAGTACCGTTTGAGATCACTACTGATCATGTATTCATATCGCGCGTCATCACGTGACACCGCATCCAGCACATGCTCCCAACGACATGCATGTAAATATACTGCACTTTAAATCGCTCGCCAAGAAAATTCAATATTCACACGATTAGGGCGGCTTTAAAGAGATTGTTTGGCCCGGCCCGCAACCCGCGACACGCGATTACCTTGTAAACAAGTGCACGCTGTAAAGTAGCGCCCGAGGCTCCGCGAGAGGCCGAAAGGGCAAAGTAATTGGTCTCGAGAGCGGAGCGAGGGGCGAAGCCCTAGCTCCGACATATTGCAAACATATTCTCCGCTTGAAATTTATTGTAAATCGCGGCGGGCGGGGATTTGAATTCGCTCCCCTCCGCTGTCAATAAACCGAATGGACTTTGGAAATTCGCTACATTCGCCCGATATTTGTGTTTGCTGCCTTCGCTTTTTCTGCTCTTGCGAAAAAACTTGGGTCCCGCGGCCCGCTCACCGCGCCCCCGCCCCCGCCCCGCGCCCGCGCGCCGCCGCTTCCGATTTTATTTATCTAAGGTTTTCCATTCCGGCGTAATTGTGTGAGTTGCGAGCTCGATTGTTGCTAAAGCGAATATTTATTTGGGCTTCAGTTTGCTTTCCATTTGGTCGCGCCTCGCGCCTCCAGCCAGTGTGTATACGTCTACATATGTATGTATGTTTGTGTGTATGTATGGCGGGCGGCGACTCACTTTTAGCGGCATTGTGCTACAAATTGAATTTGCGGGGTCTCAAATCAAATGTTGTCGTAAGAAATGACTTGTCGCCGCGACTGACACTATCAAAAAATTGATCGCCCGCCGGCTGACGGCGACACAATCGTCCCGTAATAAGTACGGCCACTGCACACTACCTCATTACATCTATGACCTGCGGATACACGGCACTTTATGTACCTTCAGTCCTACAGGTTACCTGGAACTACACGTTACATTACACTCACTGTAAAGTTGATGGTATTTATTTGTTCCACATAATGCGAGTGGGTAGGTACGCCGTCGCAGGGAAATGGCGTGCCCCGTTTGTGTATGATTTGTGAGCACTAAACAATGTAATCTCCATAAACGTTTAGGTAATTTGTCAATAAATCGTAGCAATAACATTAGTACAATGAAACGCGCAATCAGCATTAGCCGGAATATATTTGGCGTAAATCTTTCACGGCAGCTTTTATGTATATCGTAAAAAACGGGCAAGTGTCCGCGCGCGCCATAAATATGATCGTAAAGCGGAGCGGGCGAGCGCGGCCCAGCACTGCCCGCCGGCCTGTACTGCGCGGGGGTACAGGTTCGACTCTATAATAATATCTAGTTAATTAGTTCACGTTATTGTTCAAATTAGTAATTTCTTAGATTGTGGAAATTGTGCAGTACTTTTTATTCATACGCTATACCATCCAGTTTTATTTATTGACGAATCGATCCAATAAAACTATGTACTAAAGAATTGTATTATGAACCGAATTATTAGTTTATTAATAGGTAGGTACTTGACTACAATCAACGGTTCTAATTTAAATAAAATTAATATTAACTATTACTAAATTAAATATATACAAAATTAGATAAAAATTAATTAAAATAAATCTAAAAACAACTATTTACATAAAGTATCGAAAAATTCGTCCGCGACGTCAGTTGGGAAAGTATCCAGTAGGCTGGCATACATTATGATCCTGATTGAAAAAGAGTAACCTATGGAATTTTCTGCTCGGTCTTCTCCATAGTAATCTACACCTTGGAATGAGCAAATAGTATAATACTTTTAAAAGTGCCTTTCCCTAGTCTAATTGTAAAAACAACTACTTGTGTTATTACGTATGCACATACAATGTAGCGCAAGTGGGACTTGCCAAGCCCAGCGTCGGTACTAAGTATTCATATTATCCAGCATTATGTCTGTGCGTAGACAAATAAAAAGTATAACAAGTCGAGCTTGAGTTATTGAGTAACAGCGAGAAGTTTTTCAAATATTTTAAAATGTATAGTGATCATGAGACTTCCATGCGCAGTATATATGATGTTAATGTTCATGATTCAATACATTGGTAACATGCGTCCGCTGTCTAGGAATGTGATCCTCCGGCTGCCAGTGTCAATGTAAGCGGTCGACAGCGGCTGGCGTCATGTATCGAATGCTGTTTTTACTGCCACCTCCAAGGGAAGAGAACCCTGAATAAAACATTTACTTTTTACTAAATAATACAGGTTATTACTTCATCAGTCGACAGATGGCGACGACGCCGCAGTCGGGTGACGGTGCGAGCCTTCATTCAAGATCCACATCGAGACTGAAAGTCGTCGGCGTCGGTTGAGGTAAACAGATCTTCATTTGTTGTTTGTTTAGCTGTAATACGCAATAGCAGATCAAACGCTTGTTACTGTAATGTCGGTTCAATCACAGTAACGGGTGTCGAATGGCGGTCACTGAGAGCCGCCAGATCCTGGGATCCTGGCTGCCCGCGATATCACGTCATAACGCGCCCAACTTTACGTCCAGCGCCCCGGAGCAGCAACACTGCGATACGGTACTTGCTTTGTCAGTTAGACATTATCTTACATGGCTGTACGACGTACCAGGTGACACTTTTGTACCTCGGAACACTCGTTAATGGGTGTATTTAGACATAATAGGTCGAGGAAGTCAACTTGGGAAAATTCACTGCCATACAATATGCGATGTAGGTGGTGTGGGCGGCTGCCACGATGAATGCCGTATCAACGCAGTTCAAATTTTCGGAGGTGCTAGTTGCGATTGAACGCGATTCTCTCTAAGACAAAGTGTGTTATTTCTCGCGGGATCCCTGCGTGGGGGTCGCGGCTGCCCAACAGGGAGTGAGGGTGTGCAGCGGTAGGGGGGCGAGGGGGGGGGGCGCGATGTAGGTACTATGTTGTAATATTTTTACGAGCGCGTTTTATTGTCGCGGGCGGCGCGCGATAAATTTGTCATCGCGCCCTGCGCCCCGCCGCGGCTCGCTGCACGCTGACACTACTCCATGAATTGTAATCTGTCGATGATGACTTTGTTAACCACCGTAACACTCTTGTTTGTGGTAAACCATAACTTGGTGTGACCAAATACAAATAAAATGTAATAGATTGATAGGCTTATTAATGCTGCCTTCTAGTCAGATTACAGGACTACAGGTTTTCTGTAAGTAGTGTAAGAACAATGAGTTCTATTCTAGACAATCTGGTTCTTGAAATCGAGGTCTCGTCTTCGGTAGTCAAGATCTCTCAATCCATAGTCACTCTTGTAACTGCAACACCTGCCAGTTTGTGAGGACATTTCAAACTGAATGGTTAAAATGTAGATCGGCAGCAGAAGCCATCATATTTTCTCATGACAGTACTTAGGTCGGGCGTGCACATTACGAGCGGTGCGCCAGCGCCGACGCCGCCTCCTACAATTATCTAGGCGCGTAGTACTACCTACTTACTCGTTACATCAGCGCATTTACACAAAAAGCCTCGTGAGAGAATACGTCACACTCAGGGCTGAACCTGTAACCTGTAAAAAAATAAATAAAGGTACGACATCTACTGGGTCTATGTTGTCCACACAATATACGCAGAACCCTCGATTTTCTACTTCGAAACATTCATAGTTATACAGCTAATTATTATCCTTTTGTTTTGATTAATTATTTTTCTCTGATATTTATGTTGGACCTAGGAAAGGAGCTGATCTGGTTACCTCGGTTCAATATCAAAGTCTTCGTGTAACTACTTAAAATAATTGGTTGCCGACCGAAATAGGGAAATGCGTTGTGCTAGTTATAACCAGAGATGTAATTGTGATGTTACAGCGGGTGTCTGACAAAAAGGCGACAGCGCGGTCTCGGCGGAGGCAGCCCTGTCATTACGGAGGATTCCCACAGTGCGTAACAAGCGCGCGCCCGCGCCGCCCGCCCCGCCCCGCACCGCCCGCGCCGCCCGCGCAGCCCGCGTCGCCCGCGCCGCCCCGCGCCGCGTGACGCAGCGGTTCACACGTGGCGGCGCGGGCGCGGGCCGCCGCGACACTTTGTTTGTAATCGGTAATTGTGCATGTTACAAATAGACGTTTACTCTGATGATGCGTTTTCTTTTTATTTCCTTAAATTTTCAATGCGTGGGAATGTTGAGGATTCTTCTGAGGATTGTTACCGAAATATCTCATCTGCCAGTAGTGCTACTAGGCCGCTCAGTACAGCTCCTTGTCGTTTATATGTAATAGGTTGTTGAGGAGTGAACACAAGATAAACGTCCTTTCATGATTATCAATCTTAATACAATGTGTATGTGTGTACCCTACTCACACATACATAGTACCTAGTGTGCCTACCTGTAGGAGTGTTGACTTATGTACTGGAACGATTAGCATTATACACTCGGATACTGTGACACTTGTACTCAATTCAATCTACATACATATTTATCTACCCACTACACATCAGTAGTGGAACAGGTGACCTGGGACAGGAACCTTGTAACCAGCCATAGGCCGTAATCCAAGAATAACTTACAACTTAGTATTCGATACATGTCAAACAATTGCCTGATATTCTATAATATGATGTAGTCTCTAATACCATTGCGAAATTCCTTGGAAAAGTTATCGAGGTAATCTAAGGTGTGTCCATATTTGTTCAATGTAAGTGTCGAGGTATTTTCCCTAAACATGAAGTAATTAGATTAAACCGTCGCATGTGTAGAACAATACTCATTAGTAGCTATTAATAAATGAATTAGTACTATGTGGATGTGTGAGAGTGGCGAGTCAATATTGGCGCGCGCTATCGGTTGTTGCCGCGGGCAGGCACTTCATCAATATGTACCAGTCGGAGGGAGCACTCGAGGTGACGCCTTGTACCCTGCACTCTGCACCAACAGTACCACCGACTATACGAACATGTTGCGTATGTGACGTCAGACCAGGAAAGTCATCACCAGACCTACATCATTGTCATCATCACTCTTATATACAATATTGGAAAAGAGAAAGGGCTGTCACGATGTGTGCGGTTCCTGCAGACGAGCTCGAGGCCCAGTCGCGGGCCGGAGTGTGCAGCGCGCTGTGCGTGTGCGTGTGCGCACTGTGCGCTGCTTGCAAGCTGTTTGCTCACGATAACTTTACGATAACTTTCTCGATATCCACCTTATCGAGCGAGCAAACATTCGCTATCTTCACCTCCATAGAACGTAAATTTTACGTTTAATATTAAATACATATTTAAATGGTCAGGGACTACAAAATATTAAACCCAATTACAAAGGACAGAAAAGGGATAGATCATAATGTTAATAAGTTTATAAAGACAAGCTGTAACGTTAGAGTGCGCGGTGTGTGCAGTTATCTGTAGTTGCTGACTAACCGTGATTACATTAGTGGGAGCGCCTCGCTTGTTGTGAGAAAGGAAACACAAATAGGTGCGATTACAAAATTATCGATTTTAAATTATTCGCAAAAGATAAGCAAATGATGTCGTATTACACGATTAGTTTACACGAGCGAACATTCTGCACGCGTTATGTAACTACTCGAGTCAGTTAGTCGACTAATACACAACACCCGACTCCGTGCGCTAATCATTCCTCGAAATTACTTTGGAATCAAAATAAAAAACGGGAAAACGTCAGGATGTAGGAAACACAGGAACCATTGCACATGGTCGCAATTAACTTCAAAATGAAATCAAATGCATATTCATGAGGGGCATGTCATTAGCAGCTCATACATTTTAATTAAGTTAACAATACGCAAATAGTTAATAGCGGCGAGCAGCAGCGGTCGGAAGGAACCGTTTAGTTGCATTAACAAATCAACTCGAAACGATAATAGGTAGATAGGAAAGTTTGGCAAGCTTCCTGCGCGCGCGCCGGCGGCGACACTGTACGTGCGACAGTTTACGCGCTACGTGAGATGCGCATGAGTGGGCGCGACGTCACGCAGCCCAGTGTCGTCGCTGGCAGCGCACCTGTGCGCACTGACAGTGAGTGCCCAGTGACTAGTGCAGGACTAGGACGACCGGCCCGTGCAGCCAGGACATACAGGACACTGACGGGGTATTAGTACAGCGCACGACCAACCCAGCATGGACCTCAGTCAGGTAGGACGTGTTTTGGGCAAGCGGTGGTGGATACTTCCAGCGGTCGTCACTTGTAGGCGGAAATATTGAAATACTTTTGTGTGTAGAACTGATGTACTAACGATGTACTCTTCTGCCGGGGAATTAGAATTATTTATAACGCTGAACGAAAATTAATATTCCGACTATCTACAATACAAGTTACAAATCAAAACGTGATACAGTAGCGAGTTGTAACACTAAACAAATCCAAAATGGAGCTAGTTTAAATAAATACAATAACTAAATATATGAAATGTAATGTTTAATTAACTTTTTTATGAGCAAAAAATTTGCTCCCTTAATTAGTGACCCTTTAGAAGTGAGCACGTATTAGTAGTAACACATAGTGGTTCACTATGTGTTACGCAGTAGGGTTCACATTCGCATAGCTCACGTCGATCAGACTTGTGTGCACTGTAGTTCGTTTGCGAGACAGTTATGTAGACGATTTCTTTTATCGCCAATTTAAGATGTTAATTGATTAATGAAACCGTTTGTACAAGGATCATGAATATTGAGTGTGTTGGATTGAAACACTGCGCACTGCTCAAAATGCCGCGTTACTCGCATCAGCGGCTACTTGCTAAAAAACTCCGGCATTATTACATGATGTGCGGTCATTCATACTCCCTTAAGCATACCGTGCAAATTAGATTTATGTTCTCCCCGTAGACGGTAACATTTCATGCATACGATATCATATTGTAGATAACTTAATAAAAACAAAGGGCGGCCTTGTGGAATTTTGGCGTTGAGCTAACAACTGCTGCACTGTCGGCCAGTTCATATTGACTAGACTGAAGCAGTCACTACAGCCAGTAAGGCCACCACCTTCCACCTTGAGCTACAGTCTCCAGTAACCTGTGTTCTCTGTAGCTCAATGTGATGGTGTGTGCCACTTATGATACATTTATGATGTTATATTACAGATTTATGTCACTGGCACGATGGTCCAGTGTCCACATAACTTCATTCATAATATACTCCCTTAGTGGAGGTATTATAAGGTAGATCTCATATATAAAACTGAATGGAATCTAGAATTTAGTGCTCAGTTGAAGTTATTGAAATTATTGCGTCCTGGGTCGTAGAGCGCATGACTTTAATAAAAGGAAAATTCTTAACGAAAACTGAAATAACAATACTGTATTGTGAATAGTTATTGCAAACTGCCAAGTACTCGGTAATTACAGGCACGATGAGTGCGCTGTGCGTGTTACCAGAACTGATTTATGTAAATATGTTGCGGATTCAAGTGATAGCGCACACATTGTGAAACTTGTGAGTAATCTACTTATACTGTACTGTCTCTATCTAGATGATGAAGTTATACACTATTATATTCATAATATCTCAATCGTAGGTTTGGTGTACGGCGTCTGTATGGGTACGAGTGTTTTACAGGACGAGGGTCCAGGTTATCATTTACATTTGTAGAGCTTGTAGACAAAAATATTTGTATTTGTTACTACTTGCTGGTATTTATATATCTGTGTCGGTGGTCGTCTCGGTTGATATGTTCCCTACATAAAATTAAAGAAGGGCAACTTTACGCATAAGAGATTTATGAGGACCTTCTTTGTAAATAGCAGGCATTTGAACTGTCTGGTGATTCACGAGTGCTAAATTGAATTCGTAGCAGATTAGAATAGACAAGTCCCAGATGATTTTGACACCGGACTTAGACAGTCCGCGGTCACAGGATAAGACTTAAAATAGTAAGTGTATATAGCTGCAGTAATAACTGCACATTCTGTTTACTTTGCTTATATAAAGTTTCAGTAATAATCCCAGCGCATTATACATTTATCTATTTAAATATTTATGAGTGTTATTATAATACGCGAGTGATTCAGACTATCTTCCACGTATCGGCGGGCAGGTACCGCACCTAGTTATTATTTAGAGGCGCGCGCCTCGCCGTGGCGCCATGCTCACGTGACCTACTTCCGATAAATCCATCGAATGAATAAATTAGCTGCGAGACTACAAGTACAGGTACGATACGTTATCTAATAGAAAGCATTGCCCGCGCTATCGCAGCGCTCATTGAACGCGTTATGTATTCACAATCACATTACGATCCCTTAAATAACAATAATCGCCAACTCTCAATCACGTTCATTATTATTTCGTCATGTTTATCCTCGTTGCGTAATTTATTGATAACGAGGGAGATAGTACTTGGCTGCACTTTTCCCTTTACTAGAAGAAAAGCGCTGCACATGCAGCAATGAACAATACATGACAACGACAGACGATACTAACAAACATTGTATTGTTTGTCCTTCGAGTAGTTCTGGATCCCGTGGGAATATACCTAAGAGTAGCGTATCTAGGAATGTCTTGAAAAATGGCCTCACCAATGGTGAAAGAATTCTTCAAATCAGTTCACCAATTTCAGAGTTTGTTCAGTGGAAAATATTTCTACCGTTTCTTATATTTCTCTGAAATCCGAATGTAGCCTTTATAGTCACGGAAATATTTTAATTATACAGAGTATGTTTCATATTTTCAGGAGTCTTATGAGATTTCCCCATTTGTTTGAAACATAGTATTCTCCTGAAAATGAACATTTTGCAATTAAACTACTGTACAATAAGCATTCTCGAAAGGTCTCCATTGCCAAACATTCTGAGAATTTGGAGCCTCGATATATTCAAAGCTCGTAAGATATACATACATATAAGTTGCGCTACAGCATCACGCTACAAAATCTTACAATGTGATGGAAGTACTTTATTGCTTAGGTACTACGTATTCTTTCAGACTCGCATATATCAATGTTTACACCCGGGGA